AGAAAACAATTGCCACTTACGCTGGGTTGGGCAGCAACCATTCACAAAGTGCAAGGGATGACAACAACACAAGTGGTAGTTTCACTTCAAAAGATATTTCAACCAGGAATGGCATATGTAGCATTAAGTAGAACAACTACATTACAAGGACTCAGCATCTTGCATTTTGACACAGATTGTATTTTTGCGTCAGCAGAAATTAAGGAATCACTTTCTAGCATGCCAAACTACCTCCTCCAAACTGGTGTTGATGACAAATGTTATTGTCTGAAACTATTGTTGCATAATACAGAAGGTCTCCTCTCACATAGGAAAGACATTGAAAACGCTGGTTTTGTTAATGACTCCCAAGTTATATGTTTCACAGAAACATGGCTTACCAAGAAAGACTACGTACCTCCCAGCTTAATTCCAAACTCAGATGTTCACGCAGTCTATCGAGAGGATGCATACACATCCTCTGATCCCATATTTAGACAACTAAAATCACAGGCTAAGGGTGGGGTCGCAATATTTACAAAAGATGTCAAACATACAAGGTACACGACCAAAGTAAAGGACTTAGAGTGTGTGTCAATACAAATATTAGAACCAACAGCGGTAGCGATGTTCGTGATATACAGACCTCCAATATATCCAATGGATAAGTTTAAAGCCAAAATCAGCTCTCTATTATCCCAAATCAATCAAGAAATATCCTCCCCAGTGTTGATTCTGGGCGATTTCAATGACAACTACTTTGGAAAACCATCTCTAAAAACGTTGTTTACAAGCTTTGGCTACCAACAACTTGTGAACAAGCCAACGACAGAGAGTGGCTCTTGTCTCGACTTGGTGCTCGCAAAAGACTTCCCAGAAGATCCAAATGTGACAATTGAACATTTGTATTATAGTTTCCATGATGCGATTTCTATTAAATTGTAAAATTTGTAAAGCAATGTAACAGCTGTTCGATAGATGCACAATGAGAATGCAAAATGTACATACAGATTCTATATAACTCATGTCTATTGTAATATAACAATTGTGTTTATTGTACATTTATTGTCATACATGTTCATTGGATAAGAGAGAAAATGCACGATGTAATTTATTAATTTAAATGTTCTACAGATGCGCGATAATAATGATTAAAGCTATATACAGATTTTATTCAATTCATGTCCATTTTAATATAGAGCATATGTTTATTGTACATTAATTGTTATACATGTTAATTGATTATGAGAAAAAAAACGTTAAAAAAAAAAACACTGTCGTCGTCTGCTAGGCGGCCTGATGAGCCCTTACAGGGCGAAACGGTGTTCAATACATTTTGGACATAAAGCATTTGTTATGTGCTGTTTGTTATGTGGCATACTTAGACCTTACAGGTTTAATTAGTGGAGAAATAGTCAGACAGTCATTTTCATATACTTACCGCCTCTCACATGGTCCGCCGTGTGAGGGGTATTTTTTTTTCTTATATACGCTAGAGGAATATTTTTCTTCTTGGCATGGAGAGCTCTGAAAGGAGGAATCAGTGTCGTGCATCATGACATTGCGACGTCTTGATGAACCCTTGCATTGCACGGCGAAAAAGTAAAATATACGGAATGACATTGTCGTCGTCTCCTAGGCTGTCTGATGACCCTTCGGAAGACTAAAAAGTGTAATGTTGAAAAAAAAGAAAGACAAAGTTCCTTCTTAAAAATGTTTCCGAAAAATTACAAAATCTTATATGTCTTGAATTGCAATCTGTGTCTTTATATGCCTTGCGAGGGATTCTCATGGGATGACAACATGTTTCTTGTATACACATTAAGACACTATTATAGTAATGCAGGCTGTCTGATGCAGGGCCTGTTTTTAATCAACTATAGGTTACTTTGTGTCAAAGTTAACAAATAGTAAGGGTACAGTGATGTCTTAACATTGCCATTCACATGGTCCGCCATGTGAGTGGTGTTTTTTTTATCAAAAGAAAAACAATCTTTTCTGAATGAATATATATAGTTTACTTGTGTCAAAGTGAGCAGTGGTGTCTGAACATTGCCATTCACATGGTCCGCCGTGTGAGTGGGCTTTTTTATTTCAAAAAAAATCTTTGTGTATTAATAATCTCCCATATACGAACCCTCTAAATACAACCATTCACATGATACGCCGGGTGTCTTTTGTTTACAGAGAAGAGGGTCTTTTCTAAATATTGCGACTCGCATGGTACTGAGTCTGAGTGCTTTTTTTAAATTTCTTGTTGAAATAGGAAAACTGCCTTTTCTAAATATTTCTATTCACATGGAACGCCTTTGTTTGCCATTAAAATACTTCTTAAAATATTTAAATTGTATTAAATATAAAAAAGTATTACACATTTTTAATGAAGTTTGTAGAGAAAGGTATCAAAACGGAAGATGGGGAGCGTTTGGGGAACATCTGTAACGGTCCCCGTTACAATTAGCACTAGTTTATTACCGACTTGTTCAAACTGATGAATAAACTAGTACGAAATCAATTAACTCAACTGAACACAGACATGCGTTTATATTAAAAAAATGAAATATAATTAGCTTGATAAAGTAGTGTAGATTTACATTATGTCCAGTGATCTGTTTGCATCAGTGGGACTTTGTGACATCATAAAACCTCAAAATCAAGAACAATAAGCAGGTAAGAAAAGTAGCAAGTAGCAGGGGTGTGCAGTTACAAAAATAAGTTACTAGCCCGTCGGGCTAGTGGCAGTTACAAAGTTACTAGACCCGAGGTTGCCAGTCACTAGCCCATTAACTACCCAAAACAATACATGTATAACATAAAGGATAAAAAAAAAACATTTAAGTTGAAATTAATAAAACAAATACTGTAAAACGAGAATATCTGGCGCACTACTAATTTTAGCGCATTTGGCGCAAGAGCCCTTGAACGATAAAATTCATTGTGCGCTAACGGGTTTCTAAATAATATATTTTGTATATGTGTTCAAAGCTTTCACATAAGTAAATGTAAATCGGAAGGCGCTGTTACGTAATGCCAAAAGGTCGTTGGATTTTATATACACACTAGCACTGTATATCTGCCAAATAACTAATTGTTACCACAGTAGTTGTTACCCATTACTTATCATCAGCACCTTCAAAGTTTGGCTTCTCGGTGTGTCAATCATCTATCGCCTGGAGGTAAACAATGCAATTAAGCATGGCGATTGAGCGTGCAAAAAAAAATACTTGATTATGCTGACCGTTTATTCATGTAACTTTCGTTCGATGCATGCATTGTTTAAATAGGAATAAAATGCGTAAATACTCAATTTCTTTCATTTGAAATGAAATTAAAATACATTTTAACTTTGTACAGTCATGTACCACGTCAATGCAACACCATGGTAAAGTTGACAAATGTTTACTTATTTACGGAAGAGCTATTGTGTTTCCGTTCTTGACAAACCATAAATTCAAATAGGTGTATAAATAAAATAAACTAAATATAACATTTAAATACTTTAATGAAAAGTGCAAGCGCTAAAATTTATTTGCGCCAATGCATTCCCACTTGCGTTTGCGCGAAAATACGTTTACATGTTTGAATTAGTTTTTATTACAACTTCTCGTATTAGCATCAAACAATTTCGAAATTGTATGATGTTGTGCCATGACAATATGTTATTCTCATAAATGTAGAACCAGTGTAGTATATGACATAATATTTACATTTGCAAATGTTTTCCTTTATATAACACTACTGAAAGGAATGCGTATCTATAACTGTATAAATATAAAATACATGGTTACTGTCTTGAAATATAAGCAAAATTTGGGCGAGGGTAAGAAAACGTGATAGAGGGCGAGGCTTGCCGAGCCCTCTTACGTTTTCGACCCGAGCCCAAATATCGCTTATATTTCAAGACAGTTATAATGGATTTTGTTTATTCTGCAACAAAATTTTACATTTGAGCGTCCAAAACAAGCTAATTCCGACAGATTTAGGCACATCACGTGACCGGTTAAAGCTTTGGTTTATTAGGTTACCTTTATTAGGTCAATGCAAGGGGTAGTTGCAGGATAAATACAGGTACGGGGTCAAGGGGTCATAGATGTGCGTCTGGATAATAGTTTGACGTAATTTCTCAGTGATGTCATAATGGGTCGACGCGCGTTCAGTGGATTACATACTTGCCGTTGAATTTGAAAAACAAGATGTGTTTGTGAAACACTGTGCCCCCGGCGGCAACAAAGTTCGAAAAAGCTATTCTTAGCATAAAGGTTACAGTCAAGGTCACAAGGTCATTGACCTCGGTGTCGTTTGAAAGCACTTAATTAGTGAAGTAGGCATACCAAATATAAAGTCTCTATCTCCTATGGTTCAAAAGTTATACCGAAAGTTCTAAAAAACTATTTTTAACATAAAGGACACAGACAATGTCACCAGGTCATTGTACTTGGTGTCAGTTGAAAGTGCTTAATTCGTGGAGTATACATACAATAAAGTCTATCTCTCATGGTTCAAAAGTTATAGCGAAGGTTAAAGTTGATAACAAATAGAATAAAAGTAGGTCAAACTCCAAGGTCAAGGTCAAGAGGTCAAATTTGGTGGTACCCAAAGAAAGGTCATGTCACAAGTAACACACCTATGAATTATGAAAGCCATAGCCCCAACCACTCAATAGTTATGGGCTAGGTTAAAGTTGTGGGACAAACAAACAAACAAACAAACAAACAGACAGACAGACAGACAGGACAAAAACAATATACCCCCGATCTTTCGATCCGGGGGCATAATAATGCATTTTACACGCTAAAAGTTACAATCCGGCAAATATAAAGTATGAATAAGTCACAAATGTAAATATAAGTAATAAGGTATCATTTTAAAACATCTATCGAGCTATAAATACGGGTTGGTATGAGATAAAATTCATCATAAAGCCCTTCGGGCTTTATGGAATTTAATCTCGTGACCAACCCGTATTTATATCCCGATAGATGTTTAAAAATGATACCTTATTTCTTAATTAAATACAACTATACGACAATGTGCATTTTTGGAAATTAACCAAGAGAATAGGTTTAGATATATACACTATATAACGATTGCTCCCAAATTATGTACATCAATTAACAGGTAAACCGAACAAAACCCAGTAGACTTATATATATGTATCAACTGTTAAATCATTCAGAATAAAAATTGACTAAAAATATCATTTGAATTCACGAATTTTAGCAAATTTGTTATTTGTTAAATAATTTAGCATCTAGATTATTTTCAAACTATAGTGTCTTTTAAACTTATCAGTTATAATTGTGTAACTCAAAACAATTCATTTCCAGTATACCACTGATACACATGATTCAAAATGTCTTTTTGTTTAATAATGAAAAATATTATAACTGTGCAAATACATGTAAACACACAGAATGGTTGTATAAAAGAATACATGTACTTAACTGCAATGTTATATTTCACTGTAAATACTTATACACTGTCAGTGTCTTGGTGTACCGTTGTCCCACATAGAGATTGTTCTCATCATCCACACACACACTCAAGGGATCCTCTACCCCTTGTTGTGGTGTGAGTAATAGAGACAAGAACTGACCGTCCTGATCAAGGAGGTGAACAGCGTCACTGATACAATCACAGACCAGGATGTGACCGAGGACATCAGTACAGATTCCATGGAGAGATAACACTGACCCCTGACCTAAGTAGGAGAACCTGTGTTGTCCTGATTTATTCACCACTACTACTGCATTTTTATAATTGTCTGATGTACAGATATCTCCATTGATGTTTTCTGTGATAGAGTGTGGTGTTATATACAGTCTTTTTCCTTTGTTTTCCCTCTCTATGTTCTGTAGTTCTTTTCCTGTCTTGTTGTACCTGGTGACTTTACCTTTTCCGGCCTTCCCCATCCCTACCAGTAAGTCCCCATTGAGTTTGGAGGAGTGTATACAGAGTGGTTCCCAGTCTCCAGTTTTAAGGAATTCAGTGATTTTTTTATCCTGTGTTATCCTTTTAATGACTTTCTTGTATTTGTCTGTAAAGATCAGATCCCTGTCCTGTGTGACTGTGTGGTAACCTTCAGATTCACCACTGGTTTTTATCTTCTGTATCACATTCCCCTGTAGATCTGTTTGGACAAGATTACCCTTATTGTCACTGATCCAGAGTCTGTCTGATTGATCTAGTGATACATGGTGCACATCATCAACACCTGGTACATTGAACTCCCTGACCTTGGTGACAGAGGCAGATAGAGACAGTGTTTGTTTCTTTTCATATTTCTTTCTATTTTCTTTCATCTGTTTATGTGTAGGTTTCATTGCTGTATTGTAGACACTTTCAATGGGCCTTATTTCTCTCTTTTTTGATTTAGTGTTGGGGACACGTATTTTACCAAGTAATTTGGTGACATCACTTTCGCTGTATTGACCAGCAGTAAATCCTGGTGTGACTGGTTTTGTTGTCTCTGGTATGGATCGGATCTTTGGTTTCTTCTCAGACATTAATTTCTGGGTTTCTGTAGAGGACAGACATCTGTGGAGCTCTTTGACAAGGTTATTGAGATAAGTGATGTAATCCTCCATGGTCTTGTCTTGGGTGTTTAGATCTTCTAACAGTGAATGCTCTATCTGGTCTAACTGCTCCATGTTCTCAGATACGACTGTGTCCACCAGACTTTTCAGGGTCTCACCTTCAGTCTTCATGGATGTTCTGATGTTGTCCATGATGTATTTAATTTCTGAGGAATCTTTTTTAATTTCTTTCTGTAAATCTTGTGATGTAGGGAGAAAATACTCGTGAATTTTGGAGATTTCCTGTTGGAAGAGTGCAAATTTTTCTGTGTATACTATTTCAAGATCAACAAATTTATGCCTTTCGTGGTCTCCCATTGTAACACATTTAGAACATAACGGAACTTGACATTCTTCACAGAGCATGTCCACATCTTTAGTGGGGTGGATCTTGCATTTCTCCACAGGAAGTTGTCGTTTACGTTGCTGGTAAAGGACCACCTCATGGTTCTTGTTTTCTAGACTTTTCAGATGTTCATCTCTGCATTGTTTGCACAATCTTTGATGGCAAGGGTTGCAATAGAGCTCACAGTTTCTTTCACATTCTTCAATGCCACACTCTAAAAAGGGCTGGGCTCTTTGAGGAATATCCATTTTAAATAATGCCATCTGAAAATTATGAAGTTGCTCTGTACTGATTAGGACATGAGTAATGGGCACGTAAGTTTTTCACAAGACTGTAATCCTCTGTTTAACTTGAAAATACAGTAACAAAAGATTCTTCACACAGCTAGGAAGAATCAATTTTTTTATTATTACGGTAACCACATTTTTTCATTTTTTTGTGTCCACTTCTTTCTACCCATAGGTAATAATTACTAAATTCTGAATTATTGCATCAGAATTACCAAAATGTCTCAGTTTATTCTTTATATTGCAAAAAGTGGTCCCAGTTTGTTTCAAGAGTAGTTTCATTGTTGAACCAGATCTTCTAGCATATATACATGTACATGTTATCTCTGATTTGACAATATTGTATAAAAAAGAAACCTACAGTATAAATTGGTAAAAAAATATATTTCAAGCTCTTTAGAATTTAACTGGAATGAATTCTAAGGAAAGTTTTGATTATTTGGTTTAAGAGATATTTATATTTTATAACAAAAATATTGAATAGCTTATAGTATTATATAATATAGATTCATTGTTACCGTATATGTAGAGTAAATGATAAGAATTTGTAAAAGGATATCAAAAAATATTTGAATACTTACAATATCTGTAGATGGCCTGTATATGTGCCTCTCAAACAGACTTTGAAATATGGGAGTAGCACTTTTGATGATATAAACAAGATCTGTATTGTAGATAAAATACTATCACGTGTATCAGTTAGATTAACAAACAAAATATTTACATACTGGATACCAAGTCTCAGCCTTCATCCTGATAAGCGGTCACTCGGGCTGATACATGACTGATGAATTCAAACAAAATTTAGTACTGTAAACATACTTAATGAAATCGGGATGTTGTGGATTCCAAAATCTTAATTGCTTGATATGATGTTAAGTTTGTTAGATTTCATTTCAGTATATTCAATTAATTGTTTGAAATGTTCTGTTATTCAGAACATTGTATAATCTGACCAAATAGACAGAAATATTTAACCAAGCCTGGTGGTGTTTTTACAAAGGATGAAGTGATCGACTTGCGGCCCCAATCAAAAATTAAATGTCTAAATTTTACTCAAGTTTTTATTTGCATCTAATCACTGATATGTGTACCTTTATAGAATACTATTTTTAACAAAAATAGAAAAGTGATTTGAATGTTTACAGCCAATTCCCATTGCATTTTAACCCCCACCCCACTCGTTGAAGCCCTTAAAATATATATGAGTACATGTAGGTACAATTTTCTCCTTTGGCTGGTCACTGTATTTTATTGAAATCTACCTATATTTGAAAGGAGAAAATTGTACCTAACTGCGCTCACATGCTATTTTTCAAAAAAAATTGTTAAATCTAATTTGCCTCTCCCATTATAAACAGATCGACGGAACTATAGATTTTCTGACGTAAGAATGAATTCATATGCTAATCGAGGCACATGTGATACTTTCTAACTGACCAAATAGCTAAATATAAATGAAATTCGTTACGAGTGAGTACCACAAAAATACTATATGGAAACATCCTTGGAATTTTACTGCTGTGTGATATTTTCTATGCATTTGAGTCACAGATTAGACAAGGATCTTATACATATGTACAAATTTCCGAGATCACAGTAAAATTTATATACAGTTACAAACAATTGATAGAATATACATGATATACATTATTTAAAAGTTTTGTAGCATGTTTGGTGAGCAATTCGCTAGGTCTACACGTATTCCCGAGTATTGGTGAATACATGTACAAGTTTCATGTGCATATCTTGTCATAAAAACTGTAAATGCTGAAAATCCATGCGTATTATTAAGTATAAACAGTTTAATGCTGTTTATACTTAATAATACTTTTATTAAAATGTTATCCAAATCTACATTTTAAACTTTTACTAAGGTCAGCCAATGTTTAAGGCTGACCTTAGTAAAAGTTTAGAATGTAGATTTGGATAACAGATAAATTGACCTAAACCATGTGTCTGTGATAAAATGTAAACGTAGTAAACCAGCATGTTTTGTTCTGTCATCGGATTGGACAATGACTATGTGCGAAATAATAACAATAGCCACATAATGTCTTCTCGGACACGCACATATCCCTCTATTGTACTAAGACCCGCCCATTCTCTTGCCATAAAAGAAAATATTCGCACAAAGCTGGCTAAAAGAACAAAGTACGGTATTGGCCAAAAAAATGCCGGCTGTCAGACATTCTCCGTTCAAAACATTTTAAAAAGCTTAGAATTTTTAGAATCAAATGATATATAATTTATATACCTGACTTAAATGTATGCATTGGAAAAATAACGCTGAATACAGCACCTTTTATAGCAGATTGTCGAGATTTTACGAAGAATTTTGACGCAACGTCATGAATAATTTAAACATGTAGTACATGTAAGCGTAATCTGAAAATTCTAATTTACTGGCTAGGACACATATATATTACCCTGTAAATATAAATTTAAGAATTTAAGTTGTTGATTTATTAATACGTCATTATTATTATTTTTTTTTAAATTTATTTATTATCATTATTACTTACAATTTATTCTCAACGAAAGTGTCTCCGCTTTAGTTGATTAGAATTAAATCCAACAGAGGAATGGGGAGAAAAAGAAACAAACAGTCTTTTCTCTTTGAGATTTGCTTCTTTTTTATTGCATTGATTATTCGGGTTTAATAATTTTTTTAGCTATTTCTCTTAAATAAATTGAGAAAAATTCTTTACATCAGATCTAGTGAAAAAATGTCCTGATGGAAAAAAAAATCAACGTTTCCCCGGCACCAAAAAAAAAAAAAGAGGAGTCAGTTCTTTATAATATGGTTTGTAAGGTGCACGAACATTTAAAAAAAAACTTGAATGTCAAGATAATTATTATTTATATTATTATCATAATGAATGGAACTGTAGTTTAGAATACTATGATTATATCAAAGTACTCAGAAGTACAGAGAGCCGGGCTCATTTACAGCTCTGAGAAGAATGGATGTCTTACATGAATCATGTTTATATTCTGATGAAAAAATTATTTTAAAACTATCAATATAAATGATAAGACACTGACAGTGAGTTTTTCAATCATAATACCACGGTCCGATTTTGTCAGAATCAGAATAAATCTGGTACCGCAGCTGAATGTAAACAAACAGGCCAGTCTGGTTTCCTCTCAGGACTGCTTTACCGCGTATGTGTAGAGAACTATGGTAACACTGATTATCAAAAATCCTTACGCTAATAAACTATGTTCTTTGACTTATGAAGTTTTCAAAGTCATTACTACTAATGTTTATTTTATATAGATAAAACTTCGTTTTATTTTTGTTGCTTTATTTAGCGTTTGCATTATCTCAAAAGCGGTTGAGAGTAAGAACTATATTTTTGAACTTAACTTTAAAATGGCGACTATTGGGTCAACATCCTGCCTTGAACAGGATCACATTAGCCGGCAATTGCTCTTTGAGCAATAAGCCCGGCTAATAATGTAGAGAAGAGACCCCCCTCTAATGGTAAATTTTGCCAATAAAGATACTACATCACATAAAGAAGAATGCGATCGAGGGATTTCGATCCCGATTTAAAAAAATATCAGCACAGTAAACTTTTTAAATTAGTTAATGGGTACATTAAAACTGCTTGTTTTCTGTGAAATATTCATTCATATCCTGCTTGATGACAAAGGAATACTTGAAATTTAAATGTAACCCCCCCCCCCCCCTTCTGAGTTTAATGAGTTCATATTATGTATTATGCCTTACACAATTTTTGGGAGTTTTAATAAGACATGTAAAATGATTTTTAATAAGACTGAAAATGAATCATCAGTTAAAGTTTTGATTAAAAGTTTTGTTTGTAGTTGGATAAGTGGGGGGGGGGGGGGGGGGGGGAGTTATAAATCGGACTCCGTTCTGACTGAATAATATAACAGGCATTCTTTCAATTCGCTTAAAACATTTTTAACACCTGTTCCGAAATTATTATCATTTAAGTATTTAGATGACTACTCTACTCTTTTCTCAATTGAAAGGCTTTCTACATTTAAATTTTTAAGTATGTGTAAATACTTACACACGTATAAGAGTCATTTTTATATATGTTTATACAGTGGATCCTCATTTCTCCGGACGGTTTGGTTCCCAGTCAATTTGTCCGGATATGTGAAGCATCCGGATATCTGAATCACCATTTAAACAAGACAGAATAACATTTTAAAATTTCGTTCCGATGAAAAATCGTCCGGGTACTGAAGCATCCGGATATCTGGCGTCCGGATATCTGAAGGTCCACTGTAAATTCAATACATGTTGACAATAATTTCGGTTAAGATAATCGCTCTGGATTTCGCAGTACAGTTAAGGCAACATTTCCTATAAAAAGTCACCGAAAGCGATACAATTAATGTTTAACTATTTTATTTTTCAGCAAGACACTCTAGTTAAAATAGCTTTATGTTATCTTAAAGGTATGTCCATTGCTATTCACCTCGGAATTTTTTTGATCATGTGACACTCTAAAGTCACGTGGGCTCCGATTTTAGGTCAACAAATGAAATGTTAAATTTAACCAAAAAGTTCAAGGGCAAGGCAAACAAACAAATAACTGCACAGTGATTTAATTGTCCCTTTGTATCTATACTTTCACAAAAGTGGTGCCCATTCAGTTGGTTTTCCGATACATTTAAGTTATTCACCTAAAACAGTCAGTAGTATATGAAAAATAGGGTATTTACCTAATATCATCCACAGGTGCTTGAGGACAGGACACCCCACCCCACCCCCGATATAGATCCCCGGGCCTTTCAGACTTCTTTCACATACATTGTATATGGATGACACATTTGTGATATAATCTATCCTATCAATTCAGAAAATTTGCTTAAACTAACATTTTATACAAATATATACCCTCTCTATATATAAATTAACTTTATATAGAGAATGTAGGGTAGATTTAATAGAACGTTTGTTTAAGGTAATTTTTCGATTTGCTGATATAGATCATATCACAAATATGGCGATGAAGGATTTTTTATGAGAAAAAAATAGAAAAAGCCCAGGGGTCTATATCGAAGGGGGTGGGGGGGGGGGTCCTGTCCTCAAGCACCTGTGATATCATCGAAAATTATAAATTACCTAAAGGATTACAAAGAAATGAGCATCACTTTTTGAAAACTATAATAAAAGTTGAAATTAATGAATAATTTAGAATAAAAACCTACTTATTAAATTGTCGCCTTGCCCTTGAACTTTTTGATTAAAAATTGACATCTTGGTACAGTCTAAATATAGTTTTCAAACGCATCGTTGACCTAGCATGGGAGATAACTCTTTAGTACCTGAAAAAGTTTGTTAACCTCGTAGATTTTAATTAGGCCTATACTTGCAGACTGCGCTGGGATCTTTTTACTAAATCGAAAAGTATGCATAAAACACTGGATATTACTTTCTATTTTGTGACTTCGTTCTTTATACAATGTATGAATAATGTATGTTATACGACGTCTTTCAGTCCTTCCGCATTTCCTCGAATATGTGTAAACACACATGCAGCTACGTGTAACGTTTGCCGCAGCATGTAATTTTAAACGCCGATTGTTAATAAAAATGTGAATATTCAAATAAAATAGTCAATTGAAAGCCTCCATCAATAATTGATTCGATAAATTTAATATACCTTTCTGTCACTGCTGTACATACATGTACACTTATGTACAAATATTTTTTTTCGCATACAAGATTCTATCATAGCTTTCTTTCAAACCTTCAACTCCTATGGGATTTAAGTTGTACGTTTTAAGAAGAAAGACTTAGTGGAAATCATAAATATTCCTGTATTTGTTAAAGGGACTACCATATTTTTCCAAAAGGAGGGGGGGGGGGTAGATTTCAAAAATGTTGAAAATAAATATGTCCCACACTGGATAAAAAATAAATAATCTGCCCCAGACCAGTGTTCCCCCTCCTACAAATTATTTTTTTTAGCTTGTCAGACATTTTTCAGTGAAGAGAAAAATAAATAATCTGTCCTTCATCTTATTGGAAATAAATATTAGTAGACCTGGCCTTCATTGACATGAAAAGAAATAAAAAAATAATGACCTGGAAAAACTTGCCCCCCCCCCTCCCTTCAGAATAAAATGGTGTTCCCCTTTCCTGTTTTGAATCAATTAGTGGAGCCTTTAATCTCCTTTTCAGTTACTATTATTAAGAAAAACAAATTAACACAATGTACATGCTGGAAATAAAATCTTGATGGACATTTACACCCACCACACAAATATATGCAAGTCAAGATTATCAAATCTTAATAGCCTTTTCAACACCTGTACAGTAAGTACATGTATATGAAAAAGTCAAATCATTTTTTTATGAAGAAATTTTATTTCATAAACAGCTTTTCAAATTATGGTAGACTGTACAAGGAATACTGAGCAGCTGCAAATCATTTCCATCACTTCATGTTCTTGAGGATGAAAATCAATTCTGAAAATACATGTATGAGAAAATCAGGACATTCTTGTAGTAACATACCATTATTGAGAGTAAATTGGTGTTTAAAATTGCATTTAATTCAGAACAATGCATGGAAACATGCACAAACATTGGATGTATAATTAAATATTTGCAATTCTACTGTTATATTTCATTGTTTGCCAGGAATGTTGCATGGTAATTTGGTTTATAGCTAATATGGAGCATACCATTTTCCTTACATGATGGATTAACTTGCTGCCTGAATGAATCCATTGGTCCAATTCTTTAGGAATAGCTGCAGCACATTATATATATTATTTCTATGAGATTACTAAATAAAATACATTGTATAATAAAATCACATAACATTTGACAAAACAATTCATGATATACTGTATGCTGTACATAGTGAATTTATGAAATCCATATTAAAGATAAATGGAAACAAAGTTGTATTACAAAACTTTTCTGGGAAATTAAAACCTTTGACATTTACATGGGCAAATAATTAGAATATGAAAAAACATTCTTTCATCTTTACAAAATGAAAAATAAATATAACACATGCATGGTTTTAAAAAATGTGAAATGCTTTATAAGTGTACATATACCCTGTGGAGAAATGGGTGCATTTTGTATTTATTTATTCTTCAACCCTGGAACTCTTGACTGCTACAATAATAAAAGTATTATGTAGGCCTATCATAATTAAAAAAATAATTATGTATGAATTACAGAAATTAATTGACTTGACATGAAATCAAACTGAAAAAATAAATATTTAATTCCCCAATAATTTAGAAATTCTATAAATTTAAAACCATAGATCTAAAGTGGAGGTTCTTTGTTTTCAACATTATGATAAAGATATTTATTTTACATTATGTAGCATGTTTGTATGCCAAGAAGACAACATTAAATGTTCAGTAACTCATTGTCAACTCATTGACTGTAACAACGAAATTTCAAATTTAAATTAGTTTAAGTTTGTATTACTGTTGAACCCCCTTATTACACATGTTGTCTCAAAGAAAATAAGCTAATCGACTCTATATTTAGTACAATTACATTTTTAAATTTCTAGTAAAAAAAAGTGAACAACTTTATGTGGGCTGTTGGGAAGGGGGGGGGGCGACACACACTGCACTGCATTAGTTTTTCACTGACTGTGATAATGCATCTAAATAAACACGTACACACTCGCAATCGTTTTTTTTCTTCGATTTAAACAAAAGCATATCTACATATTGTAGATACATGACTTGTGCATACATACCTGGGCTGAATGCACTGCAGTGATGGATCTAGGGAGCTAGTGCAGATCGTCTCATCTTCTGTTATTTTCTGTAATAATGTCCTCATATTCTCGTAATAGGGATAAACAATGCCTTGTCTCTTATCTTATCCCCATTTTCTTTAAAGAATGTCTGGTTATTGCATTTAAATCAGCATCTCCATAGAAAAATGGGGGAAAAAATATTTGATGTGCGCAAAGATTTTATTTTTACAAATTCTTTTTCTAGTCACTTTGAGCAGGTGTTGGAGTGCTTTACGGTGGAGTCAGACAGTCCACCCAGCAGTCCCACTATACTGGCCAAGAGTCCAGCCGGCAACGAGGACTCCATCTCTCTACATGTCAGTGTTACTTCTTGTACCTTCTGATATAAACAAAAAAAAAAACAAGCAGAAATGAAAAAAAAGTTTAAAAGGGCTTTTAAAAATTTACTAGGTTGCCATCACCTGTTGCGTATGTTTCAGTACTATATCTTGCTCTATGAACCCCTTCATAGTATGCCTAATAAATTATGTAAATTATCAATTTTAGGTGCCAGAGAACTAATTTTGATAAATTTTCCTTTGCAGAGTTCCTCAGATCCAGATGAGCCAATTCATATCATCAACGTAGGAATTAAATTCAGCAAAAAGGAGAAGTACGACGACAATGCCCTCGCTGTCAAGTTCCAGGATTTTTGTAAAGAGAGGGTATGGACTGGAGTCGCAAAAATACAAATAATGAATTTTAAAGATTCAATTCTCTGTAATAAAACTATTATGGGTGTAGTTTGAGATCATTGAATGTCATGTTTTGTGATGTTTTTAGGAGCAGTATTTGTGTGAGAAGGCCATCAGAAGAATCACATTCCTTGTGTACTGTAGGGTAAGTCTAAAAATGAATGGTTTTCACGGTGATCAAACTTTCATGTGTCTAAATTTCAGTATTGTACAAGATTTGTTAATGAAAAGCTGTGCAATATGTGTAAATTAAATGTACTTTTTATTGGCTAACATTTTATTTCTTTTTCAGAGAAGTTCACCAAAATATTTCACATACCGTGCCAAATTTGATGTAAGTATAGCACCACATGATAATAGAAAGAGTTACTCACTTAAAAAAGACGGTTGCAAATAAAAAAATTAATAGAAGAAAAGTTTTTATATGCTTGTATATCTCTATTTTTTATCAAATCTCTACAAGAATTGTAAAAATTATTTATTGTTATTTTTTAGTTTGGAGAGGACAGAATTTACAGACATTTAGAGCCAGCCCTGGCCTTCCAGCTGGAGATCAACAGACTGAGGAACTTTGACCTGGAGGCCATTCAGACCAACAACTACAAGATGCATCTATACCTGGGAAAAGCTAAGGTAGAATTAAAAGTCATTTCTGATTAAAGGAAGAGAACTCTTACAGTACATATAATTCATATAAAAGCCTACCTCATATGTAAACAATTCAAATGTTGAAAATTACTTAATAAATATGTCTTATCTTCTTTAAATCATATAATTTTAAGGTTAATGCACAACATAACTTTGTGGAAAGTTAAAGTTGATTGAAAAATTTCATAATGTTGCAGACTCTGAACAAGGTTGGTTGTATCCAACAATCTTAAATGGGGTTTAATTCTGGGCTACCTGCATTATAAACTTTATTGTTAATTGTCTAACAGGTGGCAGCAGGACAGGAAGTGACGGATTACAGATTCTTTGTGAGGGTCATCATCAGGCACTCTGACCTTGTCACCAAGGTAACATTACACACAACAATAATTATGAACAAAAAAGTTATTCTTTTCAAAAAGAAAATAAATTTGTTTTGATGCAAGACTATTAATTTTACAAGAACTTTTCTGATTTACCATATTGTGTAGTACATGCATCTTGCACTTTTTTATTTTCGTCTTCTATTTCTAAATTCTACAATATTAATCAAAAATCCAATGGAGCAAAGTGTTTCTTGTCAAAGTTGTAAATAATTATTTTTTGTATGAGATCACTGAACTGTTAGTTTTTTGTTTCAAACAAACACATGCCTCAAGTAACACTGTACTGACAAAAATTTGATGTTTTTTTTTTCATTAGGAGGCATCTTTTGAGTACTTACAAAATGAAGCAGAGAGAACCCTCCTGGAGGCTTTGGATTCATTAGAAGTGGCATTCTCACATCCACTGGTGAGTTAGGGATGATAAAGTCCTGTAAATTCACTTATATTTCCATTGATTTTAATTTTGTTGGTTTGAGAAAAAGGTATTGGGATTTAATAAACAAATATGGAACTGGAGTTTGAAAGTTCGAATTTTCTGGAGGACATGTTTTTTTTTTATCTCATCATACCTTAAAAAGAGAAAATTATCCTCCACCTTTTTTTTCCAACTCAAATTAGCAATTTCACAGTATTTCAGAATTGACCATAATGATGTTTTCAGTTTGTATCAGAATCAACATTCATGATACTAATAAATAGATCTTGTGTTATAATTTTAGTCCAAGAAGACTGACTGTAATCATATATTCTTGAACTTTGCACCAACTCTGACCATTCCAGAACCAGGCAAGGTAAAAACAACATTACTATATACATATACTCATGTTTTAATAATAGAAATCATTGATTTTCTTACCATTCCTGGTTATTACCATTGTGAATTCACCATGTGTCATTATATCTCGACAGCTGGAGGAGACCGTCCGAGCTATGGTGATGAGATACGGCAGTCGTCTCATGAAGATGAGGGTTCTTAATGCCGAGCTCAAATTCACAATCAAGTAAGGCTACTTCATGATGCTCAAACTTTCTAGGAGACAAATAATTTTGATTGTACACTCGTGTAAATGGATATTTAGCTCTAAGGATGAAAATTCTGGAAAAGCTTTTAACATACAACAAATATTTTGGAATGTTTTAGGTTTGCATCCAGTGATACAAGCATTCCTATTCGTTTATACCTGACCAATGAGAGTGGATATTACTTGGACATGAGCATGTATAGGGAGGTCACAGATCCCAACATGGGACAAGTAGGTGTAATTTCAGATTGCACTGCATTACCCCTTATAACCCTATAATAAATGTACCTGTATTTTGAGATGGTCCCTTAAAATACCTACTAAACAGAATTTGCCTAAACTTGGCAAGTATACTGAAGTCAATGTAAGTTACATATGGTATAAATTTAAAGAGTTTTCTTCTGTAGTTTTCCACAATGAAACCCCAGTCAGCTCCTTTGAGCTATCAATTTTGAGGTTATCTTTTTTAGGTGATGTTTGAAGCCTATGGAACAAAACAAGGGGCCCTTCACGGTCTGCTGATCAGCACCCCCTACCCCACAAAGGACCACCTACAGCTGAAGAGATTCCAGGCCCAGTCAAGTGGAACAACTTATGTCTATGATTTTCCAGGAATGTTCACTCAGGTATCACAGAAATAGACATGGCTATAAAATAAGATAAAACACCTACTGAGAAAGCAACATTATGACAACAATTATCAAGGATATTGAAATCCTCAAGAAAAATTTTTATACAGACAATGTTATATAATGGTTACTTTTGGAACAAGAAAATTAAGTCCCAATGTTATCAATTTTTATTTTTTTTCAATCAAAAATACCTGCTTCCATTTATCTAATTTTTTCAGCATATTTCATAATTAAAAGTTAAAAAAGAATAGAAAGGTGATTAGTAACAGAAGTTTAGATGTTGTAGGATGACTGTTTTGAATCATGTCTCTCTCTTTCAGGCCTTACAGAAGTTTTGTTGTTCTGTATTTCAGGCCTTACAGAAGTTTTGTTGTTTTGACTTTGTTGTTCTGTATTTCAGGCCTTACAGAAGTTTTGTTGTTTTGACTTTGTTGTTCTGTATTTCAGGCCTTACAGAAGTTTTGTTGTTATGACTTTGTTGTTCTGTATTTCAGGCCTTACAGAAGTTTTGTTGTTTTGACTTTGTTGTTCTGTGTTTCAGGCCTTACAGATGTTTTGTTGTTTTGACTTTGTTGTTCTGATTTCAGGCGTTACAGAAGTTTTGTTGTTTTGACTTTGTTGTTCTGTATTTCAGGCCTTACAGAAGTTTTGTTGTTTTGACTTTGTTGTTCTGTATTTCAGGCCGTACAGAAGTTTTGTTGTTTTGACTTTGTTGTTCTGTATTTCAGGCCTTACAGAAGTTTTGTTGTTTTGACTTTGTTGTTCTGTATTTCAGGCCTTACAGAAGTTTTGTTGTTTTGACTTTGTTGTTCTGTATTTCAGGCCTTACAGAAGTTTTGTTGTTTTGACTTTGTTGTATTTCAGGCCTTACAGAAGTTTTGTTGTTTTGACTTTGTTGTTCTGTTTTCAGGCTTTACAGAAGTTTTGGAAGGATCACAGGGAGGAGAACAAGATTCCAGCTGATGCCTTCAGTTGTATAGAGCTGGTCCTGGATAAAGACAACAACCTGTGTAAACAGAACAGACTGCCAGGGGAAAACGAGGTTAGACTGTAGTATTGATACCAATCTGTTTTCTGTTCACATCTGGAGATGAAATCATTGGATATCAGGGTTGATTGGAATGTTATCCTCTGTTGGACATGTTACCTTTCAGATTGGAATGGTGGCCTGGCAGATGACCTTGAAGACACCAGAATGTCCTGAAGGTCGTGACATCATTGTTATATCTAATGACATCACATACAAGATTGGCTCATTTGGACCTGTGGAGGACCTTTTGTTTAAGGTATCATCCTGTGTGATAAAGCTGATATATCTTTGTAAAAATTCTAAAGAGGGGCATGAAACAGAGTAGCTTGAAATTCTAGAGGTGGAATCAGGCGCTTAGAAGGAGCAAGCATCCCCCTTTTGAATCTATTTAATGTCTTTCAAATATTTATTATTGACTAAATAATTAGGTTTCTTTGTCCGATCAATAGTTTATCCATTGAAAATCATTTTTCAGAAAGCCTCAGAGAAAGCCAGGAGAGAAGGACTTCCCCGAATCTTTATCTCGGCTAACAGTGGAGCCAGGATAGGGCTGGCTGAGGAGATCAAACATCTGTTTAAGGTGGCCTGGAATGACCCCAAAGATATAGAAAAGGTAAGGCTTAGCTTATAGACCAGTACATACAGTAAAACATGGCTACAGAGAACATGCTTAATATAATAAATTCATAATTGAAGTGAAGCTTTTTTCATTCCCAGAAGTTAAAAAAATATTATATGTAGTCAACGTAAAAAATATAAGAAATGAATCCTCAGATGTTCATAAGGACTCAAATTGCTTGTTGCCTGCACAAAGCTATATTAAGCATATTATATTGTATGCCAAAATCAACATTTAACAAGTACACAGAGTTGAGATGTACTTTGTTTGAAGCCCATAAAACAGTAATTCTTGCTTACATTTAGTGTTGTAAAATCGGACATATTTTACTATCGATTATCAAATTGAATCGGAAGAACACAATCGATTATATAATTGATAATTTGAACTATTAAAAAGGTTAAATTTATTAATTCAGCACGAGTAGAATTCCATGACATTTGACCGCGAACTTCAACTTATCTTTATTGGCATACGACATTTTACACAATTTACAAATAACCGAGTCCATCTGTATATTATTTTTGCATGGAGGCCCATCGCCCTTTTTCAGAAAGCCAAAAAATTTAGATCGTGTTGCACCAGGATATTGATATAATTAGGCGTCAACCTCTTCACCATGCACGTTCGCCATTTTGTTTACCGCCGATTAGAGTGACGTCCCTTTGGTGAATATAAAAGTTGAACCTGATCAGCTTAAAAAATACGGCATGAAAAATATAGCGATCTATCGATGATAACATTTACAATCGATTGTCGCCGATCTGGGCCTTTAAACGACGATTTTTCGATAGTCGGCGACTATCGTAACAACACTACTTACATTTGTATTCTATTGAGAGAAGTTTGTTTTGTTTTTAGGGATTTAAATACCTGTACCTGACCCCTGTAGATTTCAAGAAAGTTAGTGCCATGAATTCCATCCATGCTGAACTTATAGAAGATGAGGGAGAACCCAGATACAAAATTATTGATGTCATAGGTAAGGCCTTCATTTGACCATAACATCTTAAAGTTGAGCCTTAGGTTGATGATTGTCAGAAAAATGTTCTGTTTTTATCTGTTCTATAAAATCAATGTTTCTTTTATTTTACAGGTAGAGAGGAAGGACTGGGGGTAGAGAATTTAAGAGGGTCAGGAATGATTGCTGGGGAGTCATCTATAGCTTACAACGATATAATTACAATCAATTTGGTTAGTGCTTAATATGAAAACCTTATTGCTTTATTGCTAGTAATGGAATGAAACTGATTTAAAGGGTGAAAAAAGAAGTAAGAAGATGAAAAAGGGGATCCATACTGGAAGGTCCTACAGATTAGCTCTGAGTTTAAGACTATGTATATTAATGTTGTATATTTAGATTACCTGTCGAGCTATAGGTATTGGTGCCTATGTGTTTGTGGCTTACAGATTGTTCTATATTTAGTTGACCTGTCAGGCTAAAGATATAGGTGCCTATCTGGTTTTATAGCTTACAGATTGTTCTATATTTACTAGGTAACCTGTTGGGCTATAGGTATAGGTGCCTATCTGGTTTTATAGCCTACAGATTGTTCTATATTTGCTAGGTAACCTGTTGGGCTATAGGTATAGGTGCCTATCTGGTTTTATAGCTTACAGATTGTTCTATATTTACTAGGTGACCTGTCGAGCTATAGGTATAGGTGCCTATCTGGTTTTATAGGTTACAGATTGTTCTATATTTAGGTAACCTGTCGAGCTATAGGTATTGGTGCCTATCTGGTTTTATAGCTTACAGATTGTTCTATATTTAGCTTACCTGTTGGGCTATAGATATAGATGCCTATCTGGTTTGTAGCTTACAGATTGTTCTATATTTAGGTAACCTGTCGAGCTATAGGTATAGGTGCCTATCTGGTTTGTGTGTAGCTTACAGATTGTTCTATATTTAGGTTACCTGTTGAGCTATAGTTATAGGTGCCTATCTGGTTTATGTGTAGCTTACAGATTGTTCTATATTTAGGTAACCTGTCGAGCTATAGGTATTGGTGCCTATCTGGTTTGTGTGTAGCTTACATTGTCTGTTTTATGTTTAGGTAACCTGTCAAGCTATAGGTATAGGTGCCTATCTGGTTTATAGCTTACAGATTGTTCTATATTTAGGTAACCTGTCGAGCTATAGGTATAGGTGCCTATCTGGTTTGTGTGTAGCTTACAGATTGTTCTATATTTAGGTAACCTGTTGAGCTATAGGTATAGGTGTCTATCTGGTTTGTGTGTAGCTTACAGATTGTTCTATATTTAGGTAACCTGTCGAGCTATAGGTATTGATGCCTATCTGGTTTGTAGCTTACAGATTGTTCTATATTTAGGTAACCTGTCGAGCTATAGGTATAGGAGCCTATCTGGTTTGTGTGTAGCTTACAGATTGTTCTATATTTAGGTTACCTGTTGAGCTATAGGTATAGGTGCCTATCTGGTTTGTGTGTAGCTTACAGATTGTTCTATATTTAGGTAACCTGTCGAGCTATAGGTATAGGTGCCTATTTGGTTTGTGTGTAGCTTACAGATTGTTCTATTATATTTAGGTTACCTGTAGAGCTATAGGTATTGGTGCCTATCTGGTCAGACTGGGACAGAGAACTATACAAGTGGAGAACTCCCACATCATCCTCACTGGTGCAGGTGCACTTAATAAGGTATGACAGTTATTTTACGGATGAAAGACACTTTGTAGTTTGTTCAGTATATAAAGTTTTGAACTGCAGTTAATGCAGAGGTAAATATTATCAATAAAAAGGAATAGCCAAAACTTATGATATTTTTGTCCTCCTCACACAATTTATCAGTCTTGAAGTTGTTACATGTACTATAGTAAGATATGAGAAAAAAACTTTTGAAGGAAATGAAAAAAAGGTAAATTAATGTCACTGTTAATTAAAACACAGGTCCTTGGTAAGGAGGTGTACACCAGTAACAATCAGCTGGGAGGAATCCAGATCATATACACAAACGGAGTCACACATGACGTTACAGCCGACGACTTCGAGGGTGTCTACAAGATTATCAAGTGGCTGTCATACATGCCTAAGGTACTGTCCATTCTTATAACTGTCACTGGAGAATAGAGTACAGCATAAACAAAAAAGCCTTGTCTTTACAGTTCAAATGATTTTGTTATTACTTTGAGAGGATAGGTTTAAATTTATCTGAATTATTGTTTCAGTGTAAAGGCTCCCCATTACCAGTTCTAGACACGGGGGACCCTATAGACAGACTGGTGGACTTCATTCCCACAAAGGCCCCCTACGATCCCAGGTGGATGCTCAATGGCAGACAAAATCCAGGTAAATATAGTGCATTTATAATGCATGTACTGTTTCTGAATCTGTGTTAAAACATTTCTGAATCATCAATAATGTTCATTACTGTGGTGTTAATTGTAGATGATAAGAATTCCTGGCAGAAAGGTTTCTTTGATCACAAGTCTTTCCATGAAATTCTACAGCCTTGGGCACAAACAGTGGTCACAGGTCGAGCAAGGTTTGTCTCCCTTTATGCATTCACTGATGTTTGTTTATAAACCCATATTGTGAGTTTTATATCAAGAGAAATGGCAACCTTTTGCTGTGTTATTTGTATGTGCGTGTTTTACAGGTTGGGAGGGATCCCTGTGGGGGTGATTTGTGTAGAGACCAGAACTGTAGAAATGACCATACCAGCTGACCCTGCCAATCTAGACTCAGAGACCAAGGTAATAGGACAGATTTAAATCCTTATTATCCTTTGTACATCTAGTACAGGTAACTCTCGAAACCTCGAAGTCTGTGGGACCGAGGAAAAACTTCGAGAGATCAAGAGTTCGAGTTTTCAAGAGTCCGGATTTTTCCGGGTTTGTTTGACAGGTTTTAAAATTAGTCTTACCGGATGTAATGATTTTTATGAAGTCCTTACGTTTTACACGTGGTTTTTATAAAACAACGATATATTTTCGTATTTTAGATGACTATTTATTAAACTGAGTAAAGCAAATAATGTACATCGTCAGTACGTGTACATTTTATTAATTTTTTTTTATCATACGGACATCATTCTACGCGTTCGTTATATGAAGACGGCATTTTAACAGCATGGCTTGGTACATAGCATTGTGACTTTTCCAAATATGTGCACTGAACGAAATTCTGTACGTATTTGTCCAATTATAGTCGTCAAATTGACAGCGAGGCTATTTCTGAATTTTCATATTTCGTTAAACTTTAAAAACTGATTCGAAATAAAATATTAAATTCATCAAGTGTTTCGTCTCGTAATCTGCCATTACAATTCCTCAGCGACACTAGCTGTGTTTCTAAATTATCGTAATACAGACGATGATCATTATTCTAATAGCATATAGGCACCATAAGATTAATTATAAATCAATTATCACCTTGCAGAGTAAGTGTCACCTGAATAAACATCCCGTTTCACGAGACCCACGCCTTCTGCCTGGGGTCATTAAATGTCCAGGTAAAGTTGCTAATATTATGTAACTGGGTTTGTAAACACATAGCCACTTCGAGGTTTCAAGGGTAAATTTCAATGGAATATGCACAGCGGGACTGCATTTTGACTTCGAGGGATCAAGGGTTTCGAGAGATCAAGAGTTCGAGAAATCAAGAGTAAATTTGCTTAGTTATATAGGGAAAAAAATCGGGACCGGAGACTCACTTCGAGCGATCAAGAACTTCGAGAGATCGAAGTTCGAGCCATCAAGAGTTACCTGTATATTGTTCAAAAGTAATGTCAAAACAATAAATTTAAATGCATATTTTTCACTGTACATCTAGTGTATCAGAAGAATGTTAACATAATATCAATATCGAGTTTTTCTTTAAAAATCAACATTTTACTCAAAATTGAAATTTAGATTTGATTGGGATTTAATTTTGAAGTGTAGATTCTTGTAAAGAGACATTAAAAGTTTGAAATTTTGTTAATAAAATTGCACTTGATATTTATGTAGGTGATACAACAAGCTGGTCAGGTATGGTTCCCTGACTCGGCCTATAAGACAGCTCAGGCTATTAAGGACTTCAACAGAGAGGACCTGCCTCTCATGGTGTTTGCTAACTGGAGAGGATTCTCAGGCGGAATGAAAGGTACAGGAAGTTTTTAATAAGATCATGGATTTGACATTCCTTTATATGCTTTACCCTGATGTTTTGTTTAAACTATTTGTCTTGAAAGGTCTTACTGAAAAAATTTATGACACACAGTTTTATTCTTTAAAGTACTTTAGGCTGAAAATTTTAAGTTGAATGTATTTTTTAATTTGTTTGGTAGAGATAATTGCAGAAACACATGTTTGACATTTTATTTTGCTCAATAAGACAATTTATGATAAAATATTGTGAATATAACATTTAATAAATTGTTAATTTTATGTAAAATAAAATATTGTTTTTTTTTTTGGATAAAAATTATTGAATATGACGTATTGCAATTTTATGAAAACCTTGTTCATATTTTCAGATATGCACGACCAAGTCCTTAAGTTTGGTTCCTACATTGTGGATGCCCTCACAGAATATAATCAACCCATCATGATTTACATCCCCCCATATGCAGAGCTGAGGGGTGGAGCCTGGGTAGTGGTGGACCCAACAATCAACCCCACCCACATGGAAATGTATGCGGATGAACTCAGCAGGTATGAAATCTTGATTGAGGATTTGAAGAGATGTGAACATTGAAGTATGAAATTCTTCTCTTAGCTGCATTAAGAAACTAAGAAAAAAATTATTCAAAGATACCAAGGCAAAAAAAATTGTTTAATAAAAAGATGGCTTGATTCTTTATTTACAATCATGCGTGCCACCTTTGTAGGGAGAGGGCTGAAATAGGCTTTTTCTGCTGTCTATTTGTGCATAAAATATAATACTGTATGTCTTTGATTAAAAATATTTGATAAAAAAAATATTATCATGCACATATTTACTCAAAAAAAGGAAAGGAAAGAAAATGTTTATATTTATCTTATTTCAAGTCTTCCGGGATTTTGTCCCCAAATGTACAATCTAAATGATTGTGATGATTTTATTCTAGGGGAGGTGTCCTTGAGCCAGAGGGAACTGTAGAAATCAAGTTCAGGAGAAAGGACCTGGAGAAGACCATACAGAGACTGGACCAGACGTGTCGCCAGATCGTGGAGAAGCTGACCAGTCCACAGCTGAATCCGGACGAGAAGGAGGAGCTCCAGAAACAGCTGGCAGCTCGCCAGGAAAAGTTACTCCCCATGTACCACCAGGTGGCGATACAGTTCGCTGACCTCCATGACACTCCCGGGAGAATGGAGGAAATGGGTGTTATTACTGTGAGTGAAATTTAATGTTTGAAAGTATGTTTTTGACAATGCTGTGTTTTTATGACATTTTTTAAAGCATTAAAAATTAAAAAAGATTTTATTATGATTATTTTTCACATTGTGTGGTGTACACATATAATATATAGGATGTAAATTATTTTATAAAAATTTATTTGTTTTATTTGTTTGGTATTTTTATATCTTCAAAACAAAGATTGGCTAATTGAATTTCATTTGAATTTCAACTGTCTTTCTATGATGTCTAAACTTTACTTTAACTTTTGCCTTGGGTAGTGTTTTCACAGATGAGAATATAGTGTTTGATGATTTCTCTCTATGTCTGATTGGCAGCAATCAAACATGAAAATTTAAAACACGAAATATTGTTCTAAAGTCAAAAATTTTTTTTTCTGAAAACTACATCCTACCTTTTCATAGGTCAAATTCATAAAATATTACTCAATGATTTAATGTTTGTCACACAGGACATTCTTAAATGGCAGAAGAGCCGTGAGTTCTTCTACTGGCACCTGAAGAGGCGTCTATTAGAAAGGCAGCTGAAGAAGAAGATGAAGCAGTTCACACAGAATGTTGGGGAGGGGGAGCTCAACTCCATGTTACATCGCTGGTTTGTAGAGGACAGGGGCACTGTCAATGTAAGTAGATAAGTTATATTCTAGGTATATTCACAATTTAATGTAAACAAGTAAATTTAGTGATACACAATATATTAAATGATTTTCAGACTTAAAACTTCACAATTAATTGATTGTTGTGATTTTCTGATTGTCCAAACATGCACTATTCTAGTTTTAAAAAGAGAAGAAGAGACATATTTTGTTATTAATTAACCTTGAATTTTGAAAGGTGTGTAATATTAAATGTATCAGATATGAAAAAAAAATTCAGGGTAATTGTGCATGCTGTATTAGGGTTTTATAATTTAGATAATCTTCTGACCTCTCAATGACATTGTAGGCCTATCTGTGGGAGGATGACAAAGCTATGGTGGAGTGGTTGACAGAACAAATCCGTGAGGACAGTATAGACAATGCTGTATCAGACAACATCAGATGTCTACAGAGGGAGCACGTTCTACAACAAGTCAGGAGGTAGGTATCAGATGTCTACAGAGGGAGCACGTCCTACAACAAGTCATGAGGTAGGTATCAGATGTCTACAGAGGGAGCATGTCCTACAACAAGTCAGGAGGTAGGTATCAGATGTCTACAGAGGGAGCACGTCCTACAACAAGTCTGGAGGTAGGTATCAGATGTCTACAGAGGGAGCATGTCCTACAACAAGTCAGAGGTAGGTATCAGACAACATCAGATGTCTATAGAGGGAGTATGTCCTACAACAAGTCAGGAGGTAGGTATCAGATGTCTACAGAGGGAGCATGTCCTACAACAAGTCAGAAGGTAGGTATCAGACAACATCAGATGTTTACAGAGGGAGCACGTCCTACAACAAGTCAGGAGGTAGGTATCAGACAACATCAGATGTCTACAGAGGGAGCACGTCCTACAACAAGTCAGGAGGTAGGTATCAGATGTCTACAGAGGGAGCATGTCCTACAACAAGTCAGGAGGTAGGTATCAGACAACATCAGATGTCTACAGAGGGACCACGTCCTACAACAAGTCAGGAGGTAGGTATCAGATGTTTACAGAGGGAGCACGTCCTACAACAAGTCAGGAGGTAGGTATCAGATATCTACAGAGGGAGCATGTCCTACAACAAGTCAGGAGGTAGGTATCAGACAACATCAGATGTCTACAGAGGGACCACGTCCTACAACAAGTCAGGAGGTAGGTATCAGATGTCTACAGAGAGAGCCTGTCCTATAACAAGTCAGGAGGTAGGTATTAGATGTCTACAGAGGGAGCACGTCCTACAACAAGTCAGGAGGTAGGTATCAGACAACATCAGATGTCTACAGAGGGAACATGTACTACAACAAGTCAGGAGGTAGGTATCAGATGTCTACAGAGAGAGCATGTCCTACAACAAGTCAGGAGGTAGGTATCAGATGTCTACAGAGGGAGCACGTCCTACAACAAGTCAGGAGGTAGGTATCAGATGTCTACAGAGGGAGCATGTCCTACAACAAGTCAGGAGGTAGGTATCAGATGTCTACAGAGAGAGCATGTCCTACAACAAGTCAGGAGGTAGGTATCAGACAACATCAGATGTCTACAGAGGGAGCAAGTCCTACAACAAGTCAGGAGGTAGGTATCAGAAGTCTACAGAGGGAGCATGTCCTACAACAAATCAGGAGGTAGGTATTAGACAACATCAAATGACTACAGAGGGAGCATGTCCTACAACAAATCAGGAGGTAGGTATCAGACAACATCAGATGTCTACAGAGGGAACATGTACTACAACAAGTCAGGAGGTAAGTATCAGATGTCTACAGAGAGAGCATGTCCTACAACAAGTCAGGAGGTAGGTATCAGACAACATCAGATGTCTACAGAGGGAGCACGTCCTACTACAAGTCAGGAGGTAGGTATCAGACAACATAAGATGTCTAAAGAGAGAGCATGTTCTACAACAAGTCAGGAGGTAGGTATCAGACAACATCAGATGTCTACAGAGGGAGCATGTACTACAACAAGTCAGGAGGTAGGTATCAGACAACATCAGATGTCTGCAGAAGGAGCACATCCTACAACAAGTCAGGAGGTAGGTATCAGATGTATACAGAGGGAGCATGTCCTACAACAAGTCAGGAAATAGGTATCAGACAACATAAGATGTCTAAAGAGAGAGCATGTTCTACAACAAGTCAGGAAATAGGTATCAGATGTCTACAGAGGGAGCACGTCCTACAACAAGTCAGGAGGTAGATATCAGATGTCTACAGAGGGAGCACGTCCTACAACAAGTCAGGAGGTAGGTATCAGACAACATCAGATGTCTACAGAGGGACCACGTCCTACAACAAGTCAGGAGGTAGGTATCAGATGTCTACAGAGGGAGCACGTCCTACAACAAGTCAGGAGGTAGGTATCAGATGTCTACAGAGGGAGCACGTCCTACAACAAGTCAGGAGGTAGGTATCAGATGTCTACAGAGGGAGCACGTCCTACAACAACATCAGATGTCTACAGAGGGAGCACGTCCTACAACAAGTCAGGAGGTAGGTATCAGACAACATCAGATGTCTACAGAGGGAGTACGTCCTACAACAAGTCAGGAGGTAGGTATCAGATGTCTACAGAGGGAGCATGTCCTACAACAAGTCAGGAGGTAGGTATCAGATGTCTACAGAGGGAGCACGTCCTACAGCAAGTCAGGAGGTAGATATCAGACAACATCAGATGTCTACAGAGGGAGCACGTTCTACAACAAGTCAGGAGGTAGGTATCAGACAACATCAGATGTCTACAGAGGGAGTACGTCCTACAACAAGTCAGGAGGTAGGTATCAGATGTCTACAGAGGGAGCATGTCCTACAACAAGTCAGGAGGTAGGTATCAGATGTCTACAGAGGGAGCACGTCCTACAACAAGTCAGGAGGTGGGTATCAGATGTCTACAGAGGGAGCACGTCCTACAACAAGTCAGGAGGAGGTATTAGATGTCTACAGAGGGAGCACGTCCTACAACAAGTCAGGAGGTAGGTATCAGATGTCTACAGAGGAAGCATGTCCTACAAATAGTCAGGAGGTAGGTATCAGACAACATCAGATGTCTACAGAGGGAGCATGTCCTACAACAAGTCAGGAAGTAGGTATCAGACAACATCAGATGTCTACAAGGGAGCACGTCCTACATAATTGATCATAATATATCACCTAATGGCTCAACTAGGGTTTGATAGCATTATTTCATTTCTTCATGTAGAGATGAAGAACAGCATGCCTACAATATTAGGAACCAGACTGTCTGACTGAAAGGCTTTACATGTTAATATTTAAATATCAGTTTAATTAACCATAATTTATTGCTTGGTTGCACAGTCTAGAAATTCTGATAGTTGTCTTCTTCTCAGGGTAAATTAAATTTAGCTAAAATATCAGGTTTTTGACATAAGATCTACAGATTGTCTCCCTTTAATTGATAAAATAATGCTCTAAGCTTACTTTAAAATTAACACACTTTGCTACTGTTTTCAGTTTGATACAAAACAATCCAGAGGTTGCCATGGATTCCATCGTCCACATCACACAGCACATGACCTCAAGTCAAAGGTCAGAGGTCTCCAGAATTCTGGCCAACATGGACACGTGACAAGAATGGACAATTAGAATCAACAGTGACTGTATTTAAAAACATATCTATTTAACAAATCATATGAAATCATTAGGTGCAATATGGATCAAATTTGCATAAATTGCATTATATGAAATCCATATTTGTCATTCATAATGACTTAATTGTTAGAATTGTTCATGAATTCGTTTTGTATTATATGTGAAACATTACCAGGGTTTGTAATTATTTTTGTACTAATTTGTACTAATTTATTATTACTCTACCTATGATGAATATCATATATAGTGCTCACTTTTAAACAAAGTTGTGTATATTCTAAATATTAATTTATTGACTGTTGAACAAATTGTCCATTTGTGTGCATTGAATTTCAGTTAGTGTAATTTGGTATATTGAACACAAATTTAATAATTGAATGTAAAAGTAATATATTGCTTCACCTAGCAATGTGGTGAATTTTAATAAAAAGATATCAATAATTGAATTTTTTTTTTTTGTTTTCCTTTCATGGTTAAGGAAGAAAATGTTGTAGGAAGTAACTGTTTAGTTTTTTTTCCTCTCACTTAAAACAGATGGTTAGAGATGTTGGATATAATCTGATGTCTGTACTAATATAGACAGGATATGTAAAGACAATTTATCTTTTCCATCTCATTTTAGCTACACAAATACCGGTACTAAAGAGGGAATTTAAAACTTAAAATAAGATAGAGGCTTTTAGTATACAGTGGTGGAAGAAAGGGGCTGACCCCTAATGTGTTTCTGAATTTATTTATCTTTCAATATTATAGAAATTTTCATTTTGATGATCTGACTGGCTTCTTCACTTTTTTGTTGCCACCATCCCTTTGAAAAAAGTATTTTGAGTTTTAAAAGTTTAAATGTTTTGTTTTTTTATTTTTAGCTCAACTGGTTAAAGACCAGATGAGCTTATGCGATAGAAAGGTGTCCATCTGTCCCTCACCCAATTAAATCCGTTGTTACAGTCCTGTACAGTGAATGGTTGTTGCTACTGTCTATCTTATCAACTAAGTGTTCTTTGGTACAAGATTTCATCTCGCATTATACTGACACGCAAAAGAAATAATAGTACAACAAGCAGTGAAATACAAATATCTGAATATTTTGTGTAATGATTTTCGAAAATGAAGAAAGTCAGGTAAAACTTTATTTCGAAACATCAAAGCTTTCATTAGAATGTAGAATGTTATCTTTTAAATTCTGAAGGTAACACAGAACTGCCCTACCCCCTTCCATTTTCCATTCCCAGCGTGCAAATTAAATCCACCATACACAATAAATGCATCCAGATTTTTACCATGCATTAGATTTATCACTCTCTTGATCAGAATAAAAGAATGAAATCTTTGGAATATAAGTGCCTCAGATGCTGAAGTCGAATTTTCTCGAACTTGGCGCAGTGAGGTAACCCTTGCACTTCCGGACCACGGACTTTATGCTCATCCCTCTGTTGACTGAATATTGTCAAACTTCTGTACATACAGTGACTAAGGACTGTACACTGAAAGTCTGTATTCACAATTAAAAACCAAGGTTGTCTTAACTCGGGCATCTGGATCCCTGCCTTAAAGGCCCCTAGGGTTGGCAAGACAGCTATTGTGTGTGGCAGGGTGTTCCACGGGCGGATGGCCAAGAGAAGACAAGAAGACGAGTCTTGATCCGGGAGTGCTGCAAACGATGAATCTAGATCTCGTTAAATATACAGTACAAAATAAAACATTTAACTAGTTTACTCAGCTTCTTGATTTATGTTGTTGTTCTGTATTATAATAATAATTTGGCTGTGTATATACATGTATTAAAACATGCATTACCGGTAAACTAAATACTCTCTCTTCTGTTTTCCAGGCTGTTTGGGCTGGCTGGGGCCACGCTTCAGAGAATCCCAAGTAACCAGAACTTCTCCATAAAAACGGAAACATATTTATTGGTAAAGTTAGTCAATTTTAAGACACTCTCTCAGGTATCAATTTTTGTAGACACCTTACCTATTTTGCAGAAATAATTTAAAAATATATTTTGTAAAGAAATACTTCTTTTTCTTAACCTATAAGGTCATATATGTATGAGGCATTATCTTTGTGTAGTTTTTTTCACATAAGATGTAGAGTTATCTTTCCTTGTTTTTGTTCAGGTCCACCAGAGGGAGCTATGTGGGCCCTGGGGGACAAGATTGCCTCCTCTGTTGTAGCACAGACAGCTAAGGTCCCCACAATGCCATGGAGTGGATCAGGTTATAATTAAACAATTGCTCAATGAATTCCCTTATGATTTTTAAGGTAAGGGAAGGGCATCAGGAAGGCCGAGAACACCAACGACTTCCCCAATCTCTTCAGAGGTAGGAAAATAAAATTGTCTTGTTTGTGTAAAGTGCATAAAAATTGGCAAGAAATTTTTTCAAGGATAAGGAGAGTTACCATATACTGTATACATGTCAGGGTTATTTTCGACCTGCTTTATTTTTGCCTTTTCCATCTTGTAAACAATTTTGTGCAAGGATAAGGAGAGTTACCATACATGTAATTATGATGGATCTAAAAGAGGAATCCTGTGTTCTATATATAGGTGCAGGCTGAGGTTCTGGGATCCCCCATGGAAAATCACACTTCAATGCTTCAATCTTTAATCTTCAATCATGAAGCTTGCGACCCACGCGCGTCACCTTGAGGTGCAGATCCTGGCCGATAACTACGGGAACGCCATCTCCCTGTTTGGGAGGGACTGCTCCATCCAGAGGAGACATCAGAAGATCACCGAGGAGGCCCCCGCCTCTATAGCCAAACCCGAGGTGTTAGAAAAGATGGAACAGGTAGGTAGGGCTTGGAGGTAATTGTGGTAAAAATCTGTTTTTCAACTTACTATTAATGCTGCTTAATATAAAATAAACTATTTCCAAGACGTCACATTTTTTTGTGGTAAGTAAAATACTGGATCCTCCCTCACATTAGAGAAAAGACTTCTTTTAATGTATTTTCAAAATACACATGTACAGTAGAACTTCGTATCAATACCTTGAATGCCAATATAACAAAGCATTTCAATATATCCAAGTCTCCAACCACTTATTCTTTAAATTTTTAACCCTTTTTCTGAAATTCTTGTGTTCTTTAACATTTTTACTCAATCCAGTTCGAGAAAACAAGGTTTGATTGTAAATGTTTTCAGAGACATTGAGGAAGACAAGAATTCATCGGCCACAAAATTGACATTATAGCTATTAATCATTCAGCTCAATTGGAGCTCAATCCACGTCTACAGGTGGAACATCCGTGTACAGAGATGGTGGCAGACATCAACCTACCAGCCGCACAGTTACAGGTAAAGGAAAAACGATGACAGATTGCCATTTCTGTTTTTTGAAATTTTTGTAGTTGTAGTAGATGCATATTAGGATGAAATAAATATTCTCTTGGAAAATAAATTTCCATGTGTGGAATAATATTTTTTGAGTCAAATTGGTCTCAAATAAATAGAACATACAGCTGCTTGTTTGCTTCCTTTAGATTGCTTAATTTTTGGCAAATGCAGGTCATAAGAAACAAATACCTGAACATATTGAGTTACATACGGGAATAATTTTATCTGAGCTAATAAAATAACACTGAAAATGTTATTTAGCTTTTTAATGCAAGATAGCGACAACACAGTTGATCAAAATTACTCAGTCAGGAAAATGAGCTTTGACTTATGTTGCTTATCTTCCTTAGCCTGATGTCAGAAAGGCCCAGTGTCTGTTCAAAGCTATGCATATCGTGTCATTTTGCAGCTTAATTTTAACAAATATCATAATCATGACTGAAACCTTGTATAATCATTCAATCTTCAAACAGGCTTGTATATTTTTTTTTATAATTACCATCGCATATTTGCAAGATTTTTGTCATGTTTTATCAGTCGGTGATTATTCTCGTCGTTTGACACTTCGATTGGTTGAGAGAAAGGATAAAGGTGATCAAAAGAGAGAAAGATGGGAGTGTGTGAATGAATTCACTTTCATATGCAGGGCATTTATTTACAACATTGTTTTTATTATCAAGAGTTCAACATGGTCAAGAATTCAATTTTCCTTGACAATATAGACCTACGCTAGTGAATGCGCCACCTATATGATAGGGAACTAAACAACGTAAACTTGTATATTATGCGAGTTAGTACAATCAACTTTAAAACAAAAAAAAAATGTCGTAGCTAGCCTACGAAGAAAAAAATAAAGAAATAAATCATGACTTCATTAAGTGAAAATACATTTATGAAATGTATACCTGTCCAGTAATAATAAGGATTCAAAGAATAGATTAGAAATATTTTTGCTAGTAAAGTTTAATAAGTACTGCATACACCGTACATTCACTAGTATCTTGACAGTCTTATATCAAAGATCAGTATCAATGTGTCTGACAGTATTGTAAAAATCTCACTTGCTTTGAGCTTTAAATTAATTTCTTCTTAGTACCAGGGACCTATACTAGTATATAGGTCCCTGTTAGTACTCATAATAATGCATTGTCTTTCTGTTCGAGAATTGCTACCGGGGTATATCGATATTGCAGCAATATACGAGTATGTCTTTCAGATCAGAGAACACGCAAAACTTCAAACATATGCTGACATTTTAAATGGTACACGCTTATCATGCCTGGACTTCAATACCACTGGTCCCAATGTTTATTTTTGAAATATACATTAGGGATATATGTATTGTTAAAATTTCCTTTTATATTTCTATAGGCCTAATTTCTATTGTATGTTGATATATGTTAATCTCAATGCATTATTGTATTTTTCGTTGCATATCGCAATTTTCTTGGATTTAAAAAGGACACTTAATATTTTTTCTTCAAAAGATGATGAAATCCTATTGATTTTGTAGGAGGTTAAAAGCGTAATTATTATAGGATTATCATCAGGGTCATCTTCAGAAGAAAAGCCCAGTTTTCAGTTGCCGTGATTTATTAATGAATTGTTCAAACTGAAATGAATAAACTACGAAATCATATAACTCATCTGAACACAGACATGCATTTATATTAAAAAAATAAAATATTGATAAAGTGTAGATTTACATTATGTCCAATGATCCGTTTAAATCAGTGGGCCTTTGTGATGTCATAAAACCACAAAATAAAACA